CAAATCATTTTTCAATGAAAATTCTGTGAAAAAAATTTTTGTGCATCTTTGGTAAGATAAGAGGATGCTAGGTAAAGGCAGAGAAAAGAGCTCCACCCTAACATTGTACTTTCAGCTTAAAAGAGAATGCCAAATCATTGCTCTTTTTTGGATTGCTCTTCTGAGGAATGTGTGTGGACAGGAGCATATTCCTGATCTTGTTCTTCAGTAGTAACCTAGGAGGATGAATGAGTCTTTAGTCCTATTAGATTTTTTATGTTATTTTTAAAGGACATCAACTAAAATTTAAAAATTTTGTTCATAGCTGGTGAAGGAATTTTATGTAGCATTTGGATACTTCCATAGGAAAATACAATACATAAAGTAGAAGGAAATAATTTTATTTCTTTTCAGGTGCTTTCAATGTCAACCTGTGGTTATGTTCAGACATTCTTTTGAGGGCATTGTTATAAAAGCACAGCTTATGCATTGAAGCATCAGTTTCCATTCACACTCGTGTAGATCTACTTGTATTTTATAGAGGTCTAAGTAATGTGGAATTACACAAATTGTGCAAGGCTTAGTGAATTTTCATTATTTTATATGCTTTAGAAGGTAAAGCCACTTACTTTTAATAATGATTATATGCATTTCATAACAATGGGGTGCTCATACTGAGGGCTTTGCTACATTGGTACTTAAATTGCATTTGGATGAAACCAAGATAGACCTATAGTCATCATAGGTGGGGATGAGGGAGGCCTATAGAATCTGGGGACAAAGTCGCATTGTCACCTCTTCTTTGACTTCTAAATGAAAGTCTGTGATGAACTATATGAACTACCCTCAGTGAATTCTGTGCTCTCCATCTATCATGATATTGATGAGATTAGTTATGCAGACTGCTTCATAGAAAATAATTCATATAGAAAGTGTGTTGTATTATGTATTGCTGATAAGACCAGTGGGCTTTCTAAATCCCACAAAGGGTCTAATGTTCTTTCCTACAAAGGAAAGCATTGATTTATCATTTTCTGATAATAAGCTGAAATCTGGGAACTGTAACATGACTGCAGTCATGGAATAATGACAAATAGCTTTCCAGGCTGAAAAGAATACTAAAAAATAAAAGTTGGCTCAGAGGGTTTGTCTATGTATTTTAACTCCCCTAAGGAATATACATCTTTTTCATAAGGCATAGATATTTTAGTTGTTAAGTTACCAGAAAGATACATCCTGTGGTAAGTGGTCCAGAGTTAGTTCATTAGGCCTGTAATTTCAGTAGAGCCACCATGCTTAGCCACCGCCTTTCTCCCCAGCCCAGTCTTTCTGTCACCCAGTGTGTCTTGTGTTTCATAAGGACTGCCCTATTAACATTCTTGTCTCACAGTTCCTTAACCTTCACAATCTCAGTGCCTCCCTGCTTTCTCATCTGACACTCAGCCTCAAGGCCAAAGCCTGGACCTCATAATCATCCAGAATTACTGTTCTTAAACTCTCACCGTCATGCCATCTTTCCTAGTTCTTCCTCTGCTGCAGACCACTTAATGGTAGAATCTGGCGCGTTCAGTCTTGGACCCCCTTTTCCTATATGTGTGGGTTACCCCCTTGGTGTTCCCATCTAGTCTTGTGGTTTTAAATACCATACATTGGTTAACAACCCTAAAAATTTTATCTCTGGCACAGACTTTCCTCTGAACTTGTTTCCTTACTCACATTTCCATTGGGGTGTGTATTTGGCATATCAAATTTGATCTCTATTCTCAAACCAGCCTCACCTGTTGTTTTCCCCATTTCAGTGAATACTAAATCATTATTTTTCAAAATTATTCAGGTCAACAACTTTGTACTCATCTTGACTCTTGTTTACCTTTTATATCCCATATTTAATTTTTCAGCAAATTCTAAGTTTTTCTTCTAAAATATAGCCAGAAATTTAACGCTTCTGACCACTATTAACTGCAGCAAACCAAGTTCAACCTAACATTTTCTCTCTCATGGGTTATTGCAACTATCTTATAGCCAGGATTCATAGTTTATAACTATTGTCTTTTTTACTACTTATTTCACTAGAATGTAAATTGTTTATTACTGTGTTTTCACTAGAATGTAAATTCCATTGGGGTAGAGATTTTTGTTCACTGCTATATGACCAACCCCTGCAGTATTCCCTCACATTTGGTAGGCATTTAATAAGACCTTGCTGAGTAAATAAAAAGAAGTATAAGGTAAAGTGTTCAGTGAGAGTTGTGTTTAGTAGGAGCATAGTGGCTGGGCTGAAGGCCACATTAAAGGACATAGAGATGGGGGTGGATGAATAGATGTGGTGATGAGGACCTTAGAAGTTCTTCTCTGATTCCTTCAACTATCTCAGTGGAATGAGAAACAAAGTCTTCAGCCCATAGTAAAACTTGGGAAGATGTTGGGGGTTTAAAGAAAGAAAAAAAAGATATGAGTTTTCTAGGCAAGTGGAAGAGTGAATGGGCTATGGAACTACATGTAATTATACAGCAACACTGAAGGGCCTGCTTAAGGCTCAGAATCATAAATTTGAAGTGAAACCACTAAGCATGGTCGTGAGGTTTTCCCTAGCCACATTTACATCTCTTATGCAGGGGTAGAGGAGGTATGGGGTTAGATTTAGTAGGGACTGTGATTTACCCAAATGGGGATGACGATGTGAGACAGGGTACAAAATGTGAGGGATATGCATGGGAGTGATCGTGGTAAGTGCAGTCCTTTGGTAAAGACAAGCTAGTTAAAACAAAGTACAGGAAAACCTAGTGTTGGAAGGATCAATAGATTTTTCATTGTGGTGAATTCTGAGAAGCATTAGAATTGGAAAACTAGTGGGAGTGGTATGGAAAGAAAAGAAGTGGTGGTCAGAGAATTAGAAAACTGAAATTACAGAAGGACTGTGGTTCTTGGTCTAGGCTGGAGATGTGAGAGACAAGGAGAGTAGAGATTGAGGCATCACAATATTGGAAAATTTATCCATGAGATATGATATTGAGTATTATAAAAAGCCTAGTGTTAGAGAGAGTAGAATTGAACTAGGAATTTAATCTTCAAAGAAAAGAGGGTTTCATTTGGGTGTGGACAGGTGACTATTACAAGGAGAGGTAGTGAGTAGTCTAGACTGATGATATGAGATTCAAACTGGAAGTTTCTAGGTAAAAGAAAAGGAGAAGATTTTGGAATCAGTAAAAAGGAATAAGGAGCACACCTCTTCCATTCCCAGGTCTAGTGTGAGAGAGAACAGCTCCCATTGAGGGAGCTCCTTGGAAATGAGTCCTTCAGAGGGAGCCGTAGTTTAGTTAGAGCTAGAATATTTAGAGAAGAGGTTAAAGATGATATGAAGGATTTTTTGATGACTGGCTGGGTCCCAGGCAGTGTGTTTCAAGGGTTGGAACATGGTACAAGATGGAAACAAAACTGGGGGTGTGCACATAGCACATGGGGATTGTGGGGAGATTCAGGGGCCTGGATTCCTCACAGGGACAGACATCGTCAGATTAAAGGGCATACTGAGATAAGGTCCAAGTTGTCCAAGGCACAGAAACGTGATACAACTTGAAGGAAAAGGAGAGTAGGGATCTTAGCAGGGCATATCATATTTTGTGACAGAGTCATGGAGGCAGCAAAGGGACAGTGTTACTCTGACTAGGTGGGGCTGGTTTTATCATGGTCATTATTTTATCAAAAGTGATTTCCCTTTACCTTCCCACTCTCCCTATTTTATCATGTTCACGAGCCTTTCTTTATCTTAGCTCATTTTCTCTGGACTCCAGGGAGACCATGTTTCTTCTCTTGTTTCCTTACCTTGTTCTGCCCGCCCCCTCCAAGATCTTGCTCCACTTTCATTCTCTCCTGGTTCCTCCCTTCAGGCTACAGACATGTTTAAGTCTATCCCCTTACAGACAAGAAGGCATCTCTTTGACTCTACTTCCCTGTCTAACTGCTCTTAACCTTTCTCCCTACTTCTCATCCATACTTCTTGAAAGAGAAATCTACAGCACCATCTTCTCATTCTCCCTTTTCATTTAGTCCTCAAACTATTTGCTATTGACTTTTCTCCCTTCTCTCTAGCCTTGTGTCTTTCAAAGCCAGTATTATTTAAAATTCTAGTGTGGCTATGTCATTTCCCAATCTGTAGTGCTTTATAGAGCACAATGGTTCTCTGTTGGCAATAGGACAATGTGCAAGCTGGATCCACACCCCACACTGCTGCTTCTTTCCATGCTTCTCTCAGCCGGTTTTCTCAGCCTGGAACATCTTTATCTTCCTCTTCACTGGGACTTAAATTTCAGGTGTTTTATTTTTTTTTCCTAGAGTTTCCCAGGTTGGGTAGGCAGGTTCCCGTCATCACTTTTCCCTCAGTATTCTGTGTATATCCTCTTTCTACTTGTGAGTGGTCTATTGACTCTTTCCTATTCACTGTTGTGTATCTAGCTCTTGACTGCCTGCTGCACAGGAAACACTTAACAAAATTACTTTTGAATGAATAAAGAATGAATAAAAGATAAAATATATCTTTTAGCAGACATTCACATTTTGGTAGTGAGAAAAGTTTACTTCTAATTTTAAATCCATATTTGGTATTCTTGTTAATGATAAATGGAAGCTTCTTGCATGTTTGGTGATTATGAATCAAATTGAACCTGCTAACCTGGGTTAAATGGATAAAAGTCCATTTTGAAACAGATTGACGACTGTGTTTGTGATAAATCCACTGAGGTAGAGATGCCCTATAATATTCCAGCAGATTAACACCTGTTATTTTATTGCCATCCCCTATAACAGGATCCTGCTGGGGTTGTATTGCTTTTTCTGATAGTATTATAAAAAAAAGAATCTGATATACTATGACTATTTTTATAGCTGTTTTCTTTGGCAACCATATATATGATCACAGGAAAATGGGCAATTTATCAAAATAAATAAGTATCCTGGTGTATAGAGAAAAAGTCAAGATAAACATTTGACAAGACTACAGGCCTAATTTATTACATGTCTCATAGGTCTCTTCTGGTGATTCTGAAGCCAAACCTTTGATCTTCACATTTGTCCCCACTGTCAGAAGATTGCCAACCCACTCTCAGTTGGCTGACATCTCTAGATTCCTTGTTAAAATTCCTGAGGAACCAAGTGATAAGAATCCAGAAACTGTAAATAGGGTAGGACTATTTTTATTCTTTTTTTTCAGCAATTAACATTAAATTATCATAATAATAACTGACAAATTTGAATGAATGTTTATTTCCTCTGCTTAAAGTGAGACAACCATGAAATCTAAGATTGACTAAAAATACAATTATGTAATAGGAACGTAATTGTTATCTAATTCCAGGTTCTCTGTAATACATTATTCTCAACCTTTTTGAGTTGATAGCCTATAGTTTGCCTCCTTGTACATTCCCTTCTCTCAAATGTATCTTAAAATAATAAAAACAAAATTAAAAAGAAGTTTGCATTTATTTTGAAAGAAAATATGATTAAATAATGAGGTGCTACTACCTTACATGTAATAAATTAGCAACATGATAAAGGTATAATACCCATTGTTAGGGCAGTTGTGGAGATATTTGCATGCTCATATTTTGGTGCTACTTTTGTGAATGTGTATAATTTTGGTAGAAAACCTTTATCCACTTTCATGAAACTGTTCATAGCCTTTCAATAACCTAACTCTTGGAAATGTATCCCCCAAAATAGGACAAAAGAAGAAAAATGTTATAGAGAAAAATAATTAGAAAAAAAATAAAAACAGCCTAATACCAGAAAAGTTAAGAATATGATAATACATAACTTTGACAAAGTTATAATTATAGTAATTATGTAATTCCATGAAAAATGTTAACCTTATAATATTATGTAACAAAACAGATGATAAAATTGTATTTATGCCCTGGTCATACCTTTCTAAAATGAAACCAAGACTGAAAATTAAATTAAAACAAACCCTGAAAATGACGTGCTAGAATAATGACATTGTGGTTTAGAAATATTCTCATTAAAATGTGTTGTAATACTGTCTTATTTAAAATAAAGTGTGACTCTAAGGAACTTGTGGTATTCTTGAGCCAACTGGAAGGGCAGGAAATAATCTAATTTACCTTGTATATATGAAAACATCTTACAGGCAAGTAGTAATATATTTATGTTTCTGAGATTTTCAGTGCTATCTTATTTCAAGATCATTGGGGCCACATTATTTCAGAGAAATCCTGAATATTACATAAGGCTCTTCTGGGAAGTTTCTCCCTAACAGTACTCAACTATACATAATATATTCATAGTATCCTTTGTTATTAGGTGCTATGGTTACATGAGACTGTAGCTATATGAACCAATTTTGGTTGCAAACCTCCAAAGCCTTCTGAAATGATGATATTCATCTGATGATTGCAATGATACACATACAACTATGACATTAAAATGAGATTAAAGTTTTTTCTATCTTTTAAATGGTTCAGTATTATAATCAAACAGGGTAAATAATCCTTCATTCTTTCTATGTTTAACAACTATTGACTGGCAACATGTTACGTGCTTGGTGTTGTGGATTCTGAGTGAATAAAGTCAACTCATTACTTACTTGTTATTGGGAATGCAGACTGTGAAAAAACTGAAAAGTGTATAACCAAATCTCAGCTATTGATGAATGCTGTAAAAATATATCGGAGTGAAGGAACATAGAATGATAGACTATGGAGGAAGGAAATTGTTTTAGAGCATTAATGATGTTTTCAAAAACTAGTTCAAGTTTTTGCTGGTTTTCTAGTTATTCCATTACTTTTCATAGGAAGCAATTTGTCACTGACTACTTCTATTTTTAATTTAAACTTCCTTCCAATTTGGGTTTTTGTTACTATATAGTATTGTAATTAATATGTGAAATCACCATTATCAGAGAAATCCTAATCAGAGACAATTAGTTTTATTCTGACTATATCATCATCAGCTGAAAAGTGTGGAATTGATGTATAAAGTGATGTCCTTAGTTTAGTTATGACTAATCAATGGTTGATTTCTATTGTGTTTTCACACACACAAAACACAAACACACATATTATCATACATTAAATTGATGATCATAGTTGAAATTATTTTAGTTTAATTAGTGTCTTCTTTAACTTTCTATTTTTAAATAAATTCACACTTAAAGAAAAGTTTAAAGAATAATAAATATAGTATGGTTATCAAAACCAAGAAAATTAACATTGAATCTTCTCAGCATACATAGCTACTGCCTTTTCAGAACAAAGCCTTTTGTTAGCATGGTAAAGCTGTCTTACTCCTGGTCTTATGAACTTTCTGTGTGTTCAAAAAATTGTATGAGAAAAGATTTGGAATTACAAATCCAAAATAAAATAATAGTAAAAAATAGTTTGTGCTAAAAACATTTATCTTTTTGGTGTCCTAGTCACAGGTTCTTCCCAATTAGCTTAGGTTGTTTTGTCTAATATCTGTGCATTTTGTTCTGATATAATTTTTCTGCTCAGACTTTTACAGAGATTTATATTCTTTTAGAATCCTTCAGTGGGATTTCCTTTACCCCCTGGCTTCCACAGAGTATACAGGTTTTGCTTGACCATTAACTAAACCTTTGTCAAGTCTCCCTTTGTTCCAGGAATGTCTTCATGGAAAACATTGCTCTCTTCCTCTTCTTTTAAAAACTCATCTCATGATTTATTAGAAAGCAGGTTTGTTTGTTGATGTTGATTCTGGGCCCTACATTGTTTGGATTTAGACCAGAACAAACAAACAGGTGGGCTAGTAAAAGTAAACTGTTAACTTCAACCTCATTTCTCTTGATTTTTACATATGTTTTTATAAAGTCTTGTCCTTAAGCAGGTAAAGCTTTTAAGTGCATAGAAAAAAGAAGCAAGTATCAAACCAATGTCAATGCTTTTATGTCTATACATTTATTGCAGTCAAATTTCAATGAGTACTTGACCTTGAGTGCTGGGAGCCAACAGAAGAGAGACCCAGGAACATTCACTTATCCTTCAGAAGTCAGCAGAAAGATTTCACAAGTAAGGGAATTTAAAACAAACAAACCTCAAGAAATGCAGCAAAGTGGCCTCTTCAAAGCTGAATATGTTTTTATTGTGGACTCTGAAGGGGAAGATGAAGCTACAAGCAGAAAAGTTGAACAAACTCCCCCAGTGGGGATGGGCACCACAGCTACTCGGCCCAAGTCCCTAGCTATATCCTCCAGTCTGGTCTCTGATGTGGTACGTCCCAAAACACAGGCAACAAGCCTCCAGGCCTCATCACATCCTGAAATGCCCCACGGGATGGCCTCTCAGCAAAAGCATGGGCAGGTAGGTTTTTCTTCTTATAAGAAAAAAAATATTGTTTACATATCGTTTGTTCCAGGCTGTGTGTGGTCTTGGAAGCCTCCAGTGTGGGGCTGCCTCAGTGAAATAGGGAGAAGGTCCCATCCCAAAACTTAGCAGCAAGACTGAATGCCTTTTTTAAGGTGGAGAGTCTATGGTACAGTAGGAGAAGTCCTGTGTCTGTGATGGCAAGAAAGAAACATCAAAGAAAGAAAGTTAGGGAAAGATTTTGAAGGGAAAAATAGAAAGAATTTGTTGTTGGCTATTTGTTGTAGTGAAATTATAATATGACTTTGACAAGGTACATAGGATGTTAGGGATGCAGAGGCTGGCTTTGGAGTAAATAGTGGATGGGAAGTTGCCCTAGACAGTAAGCGTGAATCAGTACCAAAGTGTCCTGTTTAGAATCTACCAGATCGGGCATTTGCAAGCTTTCCAAAGTAGATGGGAGAACATTTTTATTGGTGAGTTAGCCTTTTGCTGCTACTAGGATTGATGCAAAACTGTACAGTAGGCATCTTGTTTTTGGTGCCACCCCATCTTTATTCCTGTAGCCTTCACTGACTTCCTGATGATGTATTCATATCTCCTCCAAGCATCCTGTATCCTCATTCTGCCTTGTGGTGATGGAAGACTCACACTGGGCTGTCCATACGCAGGTCTCCTGGACTAAAACGTTCATTTCTTTTTGAGGTTTATTCTCAGATAATTATTTAAAATATTCTAACCACATTAACATATTCTCAGTAAGTGTGATAGGTTTAAACACTTTTTTCTTATCTCAGGAAAATAGTGGAAAAACCAATAGGAGATGTAGGGGTTTCCATAGTCAGTGGAGAGTACCAGTAATTCGATGGGGTGCCTTTGAAGAAGAACATGTAGGTGTGATAATACAAGATATATGAAAATGAAAATATTCTTAATGAAGCAATTTTGGTTTTTAAACTTACTCTTTTCTCCAATTGGTAATTTTTTTCCCAAGTTGGTCATTTATTTTGTTTTAATGTGATTATATATATATATATAACATGTATGTGTGTATATATATATATGACATATGTATGTGTATATACATGTCAAACTGGAGACTAAACATGCACTTTGGGATTTTTTTTTGGCCAATGTAGGTTACTTAGGAGGTTATAGTTCATGTTATTAATGCTCCAAATGAAAAGACAAAACTCAACCTAATTCATTAGTAAGGGCTCAAAATGATCTTATCACAAATGGAGGAATACTGGATCCTGAATTGTTTGGGAATAGCCATGGTTCCTGTCTCCATTTATCTTAATAATCCCTTAATAATTCCTGCCTGAGTGATGAATAGATGTCATCATGAAATAAAAATAAGATGAATTAAAAATAAGATAACTGTTACTCACAAATTTAAACTAAAAAATGACCAGGGCACAAAAGAGGGCACTCTGAGAGGTTTAATGTAGTCAGGAGTAGAATTTTAATATAAAAAGTCTAGAGACTACCCCATGATTGGATTACTTGATGCCAACAACAGTAATTTTTCAATAAGAAATTTTAATTTTTCTATAAAGAAGTGATTTTTCTGGTCAACCTGGTAAAAATGAATAGAATTATCTATAAATTGGTACTATTAGTTAGTAATAATAACTTAAGCTTTTCCTAAAAAATGTCTTTAGTTCTTAGTTTGGGCTTTACCCTTTTCATAACCTAACCTGTATGACATTTCCTCTCACATCTTGTTCCTCATTTCTTCAGCTCTCCTGTATTATCATCACAGTCCACACTTTATGCATTTCTGTCCCTGAGCCCTTGATTCCTCTGAGTGTAGTGCTTCCTTCTTCCCCAGACCCAAGGCCATTTTGGCCTCAGCTACTCGATATTCTAGGTTCTGCTCAAGTTGCCCCTTTTCCTAGAGACATTCCCAGATGGATTAGTATTTCTCCTTCATCTTCATCATTTTTCTCATAGTTTTGTAGCCTTTTTGGTAAATCTTCAATGTAACTCCTTTCAACTTAGTTCTAATAGTTGATTTTATCTTTCTTCCTCACTAGACTAAAAGCAACTTGAAGCCAAAGTCTGTCTCCTGTTTATTTCTGTATCCATAGCACTTAGTGCAGTGTCTCAAACATAGGTAAAGTTCAATAAGGTGTATGAAAAAATATTCACAAGTTTACACATTTGAAGTCTTTTCTCAGATATCAACTCCTTCATAAAGTCTGCTTTGGTACTTTCAGGGAAAGCAAACTCTCCCTCAGTTTAATTCTGATAGCTTTTTTCTCCCTGAATATCTTTTATTATAATTATTCTATTACAGCATGTATTATAACTGTTTAGGTGAATGCCTTATCTTCCCTAGCAGACTGTAAAGTTTTTATAGGTAAAGACACCATTAAATCCATTTTTATTAATCATTTTGTTCTCCAGAATGGTTACTGTATTCTCTCGAACATAGTCAGTATAAATATTGGATTGAGTGTATTTTTGTTCCAAAGGTTGTAGTGGCATGTTTACATAAAAGCACATTATATTTAAAAAATCCCTAAAGAATTTAAAATTTAAAGTGTAAGTCAAAAGTAAAAATGCTATGAGAGCAGTTGAAATAAAATCCTCACAAATAGAATTCAGAAAAAAATACTCCATAATGAAATACTCCATTCATGTTTTTGAGTGTCGGTGTAATGATGTAAGAATAATCTTACCCAGGGATAGTATTGGAGTTCAAAGAGAGGTGACTATACACAAGCAAACGCAGACTGGTTTGTCTGAAAGAACTTTGATAAAATCTGGTATCAATCAGGTCAACTTGGGAATACAAAATAATAACTGATGACTTTTACTATACTAATGTATTAATAACTAACATCTTTCTGGCAGTGTGTCATAGTTTGAGTACTGACCTAGGGTTATCGAAGCACAAGAGCTCTTCTATTTTTAATGCTGAGAAACCTCATGGAGAATGAAGCATTTCTTTACAATATTGTATTTTCATGTTTTATAGATGCCTTGCCACATTTCTTCACTGTACAGCAGCAAGTAATTTTGTCAAGTGGGACAGGCAGGTTAATATATCCTGCCGCTTGGTTAGGGAGGAAGGGCAGGTTGGGAGATTCACGAGGCCCTGATCAAAACCGAGGGGAGGATCAAAGTCCTTTTGTTGACAAAGTTGGGTATGAAACACGAGGAGACCCTGATGAAAGTGTGTCGCCTGTCAGGCAGGAAGGGGAATCCTCTTCCCAGTGAGCATTATAAGAACCAGAAGATGTTTAGGGATGAGGCCAGGTGTGTGGGGTTTGACCTGGCCAGAGTCTGAATTTGAGACATGGGAACACTTTCACTCCCATGGGTCAGCCCCTAGAATCTTATGCTGCATTACCTGCTGGGAGCCACACCTCCTCTGTGCTCTCTCCTGCTCTGGGAGGGCAGGGTGAGGGTTCCCAACATTTGACCAGTTCAGCTACAAAGGAGGTGCCTGATGCCTGCTATTAAAATATACTATACTATTATTTATTAAAATAATGTTATTTAATATAATGAAAATATTATAAATGTAAAACAAATTCCAATAAAACAGGGCCCTCAAAGCTTTTTAAATTGGAAATTAAGAGGTTATTTGGTGACTTTAATGAGAACAGTGTGAGTGGGGTGCTAGGGGCACAAGTCAAGTTGAGAAGTGGATGGGTGATGAGGGCAAAGAGGTTGCGTGTTGGAGGAATGGACTGGGAAAACCAAAATGAGACAAGCAACTGAGTGGCCATGCTCTTCTGGGTATTTACTTATAACCATAAACCCTAGTTTCCACATTTGTAAAATGGGGTGATGATATCAACCTTTCTTATGAAGATCAAATGAGATTATATATTATATAATGAAACTATAAATTTATTTGTGTATATTTATATATAAACTGTTCATCTCAGTTCCTGGCCCATGGTAAGTTCTTAACAAATAATTTACCATATTTAAGAAGTCTAAGAGGACAGCATGTGTTGGGGTATAGTACAGGGTAAGGAATGTGCAAGGGGGGAGAGGTTTTATATATTGGTTCAAATGTAGCTTGGATGTAAGAACTTGGGGGAGGAACATGGAAAATAAGGTCAGAAGAACTGGCTGTCAAAATAAAGGAGGTTCTTACATAATATCCTGGAAAATTTGGACATTAGCTCTCATATTTACTAAGTACCTAGATTTCATGGATCCATGGAAAAAAGATTACAACAAATTTGGACAGGGCATTTGACATACAAATCTTCTTTATACCCCCTAGGGACTCAATGTTATAATGAAATATTCTATTCATACCAACACACTGTATTAGAATAGTCTTTTTATGTTTCTATTATTCTAGTATATTTGTGAGCCTCATCATGCCAAAAAATCTTCTTGTCTCTGGTTCCCATCACCTAACACAATGCCTGGAACACCTGTAGGGGCTTGGAAAGTGTCTGATGAGTGAATAAGTGAGTGAATGCTCCTCCTTTTCACATGGAGGACCCTATAATATATATATATATATATTATTATATATTATATATATTATATTATTATAATATATTATATTATATTATATTATATTATATTATATTATATTATATTATAATATAATATTATATTATTATAATATATATAATTTTATAATATATAAATTATAATATATTATATTATATATTATATATTATATATATATATATAGATAGATAGATAGAAAGATAGATAGATAGATAGATAGATAGATAGGAAATAAACATCATTATATGAACTATCTTAACCCATAGCTGAGAGAAAACTGTCATGGAAAATAAAAAGAGAGCCTAGGACTCCTGCCTCATAGTTTAGCTCTTGCTCCATATTTTGCTTATTAATACATGATCCAAACATAACTCTTGGCCTTAGAGATTTAGAGATGGAAGACTTTGGAAGAAGCTGATAGGTGAAACTTCCAAGTTGGATTCTGCTAACTGCTGGGAGGACCAGCTTAGAATGACAGGAAATATTTCCTGAAAAATGAC